CTCTGTCTCTCTCTGTCTTTCTGGCAAGCGCATGCGCCCTATAGCAAAAACCTCTCCAAAAAAAAAATATATATATATGTATGTCATGATTTTTCGAACAACCCAATAGAATATTCCATCTTCACTCTTATTCAGATCCCGCTTTAGTTTTTTCCCACAAGAAATTACTCATACACGAACCATATTCCCACATGGAACTTTGAGTCTGATATTCAACTAAGGGGTGGCTGCAACTTACACGGCACCTGATGGGAAATAACACGGGCACCTGATCTGAAAATGTCACATTTGAAAACTCTGCAATTAGGACGCAAGGGGTCATGCAAACTAGCAATACACCCTGCTACAGGAAGGGAGTAGAAGTGTTCTAGCAGATGAAAGGCAGGTGATAGCACAGAACAGCTGATGTCACACTACTGTTCTTATAAAAATGCACAAGAGGGGCCGGCAGGTGGCATGGTGGTTAGGGCACTGGACTCCCACATAGTTGACCACAGTTCAAGACTCAGACCTGGCAGCTTGCTTCCTCACTTTCCCTTTCTCTCTCTGGTCAAACTAAAAAATAATAATAAAAAATCAAATTACATAAAAAAATAATTCTTAAAAAAAAAAAAAGGCACAAAAAAGTAACTAGTGACAGGAGGAAATGCATCAGAAAATGAACAGTGGCTATCTCTGGGTGGTAAGTTTCCATTTTCTTCCCATTACCTGACTTTCTAAATTTTCTTCAACGAGTATCAATTGCTTTTGTAGAAAGAAAAATCCACAAATGGTCTTAGTCTTTTTTTTTTTTTTGGAAGAGGTTTTTGCTAGTGTGTACGTGTGCTCCACAGAAAGACAGAGAGAGACTTAGAGACAGAAAGCGAGAAATCACCCCCCAGGGGAGATGGCCACGCTGCAATCCCTTCTCCTCCATTCTCCTCTCGGGATCTTGGGCATGCATGCACACGCGCCTGGCGTGAGTTTAAGTCACCGGGTCCGGGACTCGAACCGCGGTCGACTACGTAGGAGTCCAGCGATATAGCCATTACACTAACTTCTGGTCCCCCTCTCAGCTTTCTAGTGCTTGGGGTAATCACCCTCACTCTGGTCTCTGGAGATCTCCCCCTACCCCCAGCTGCCAAGACTCGGGGCTCGGGTCAGCCTCACCTTTGAAGATGAGGAACGCCGTCCTGGGAAGCTCATCGAACCAATGCTCTCTGTTCTTCTTGGCCTGGGAAGGTGACAGGGTCATAGGAGAGGGGGTGTCAGGGCCACGAGCACACGGGCCCGGCCTAGCCCAGGGGCCAGGACACTGGCTGTCCTCCCTTGCTGGCCAGGGACAGCCACTGTTGATGGGGTATTTCCAAACAGCATTTCACACGAGGGCATTTCTTTATATTGGGTTGTTGGAAAAGTCTTGATGCATTTTTTTCAACCACTCAGTATAATCCTGGGAGGAGCTCTGCAGGTAGGGACCGTGATCCCATTTGACAGGTGAGAGCAGCCTTGGAAAAGCCCAAGCACTGGCCTGATGTCGCACAGTGATGAAGGGGCTCTCACTGAGACCCAGGGTTCTGAACCATGACGCTACACCATGACGCAAATGGATAGGCAGATACGGGGCAAGGGTCCTGCTCCCCGTGACGTGCACCAGCCAAGCTGAGAGCCGGCCTGTCTGGCAGGGAGACAGCTGAATTTCAGGGAGCCTCTGGTCCTCCTCACCCACCTGGGCACCCACCTGCCCACCCCTCTTCTCTCCCAGAAGCACGCACCTTCCACTTCAAGGCGGCGACTTCATAGATATCGTAGAAGTCCTTGAGACTGTCATAAGCAAAATGAAAAGGCAAAGAAGAAAATGAGAAGACATTTCCACTGAGCTTCTGTTCTCTGGTTCGCCTGATGGTCACCTTGCAGGGCTAAGGGTCGCAAGGAGGAGGAGACATTGAGAGTGTCCCAGCACGCCTGAACCCAGGGGAACCTTAGCAACAAGCGTTCTGCTGACCTCTGTCCTCCGGATACCCTGAAGACTCAATCCACTTGGTCTATACTGACTACCGATGGCAGCGTTCCCCTGCAGAGAGCCCCTGGAGTACTAGAATTCTTTGGTTTTCTTTTAGGGCATGTGTGCTTACCAGAGAGAGAAACAGAGACAGTGAGAGGAAAAGTAAGAAGTCATCCCCAGGGCGGTGGCCACACCGCAATCCCTTCTCCTCCATTCTCCTCTCAGGACCTTGGGCACGCACACGCACGCCCCTTGTGGGATTTTCAAGACACCGGGTCCAGGACTTGAACTTGAGTCAGCCATGTGGGAGCCCAGCAACATAACTGCTACTCCATCTGCTGGTCTGAGTACTAGAACTCTTAGATGGACAGAACCTCGGCCTCTTTCAGCAGAGGCCTTCACAAACAGCTGGGACCGTGAGTTCAGCCCAGCCAGAGCTTATACATCCCGTCTCTACGGCGGATCTGCCTCCTTCCAGATCGACACGCTCTGGTCACTCTCAGCGTACAGACCAATACTGGCCGCAGACCCCAAGGCGCGGGTCTTGGAGGCTGTGCCAGTGTGTGTGTGTGTGTGTGTGTGCGTGTGCACGTGAGTGTGTTCGGCCTTCTCTGTCCAGCTGGCTCACGTGGGCCGACTCCACCCTACTCATGACTCAAGGGAAAACGGCTGAGTCGCCCCATTCCAGGAGCCCACAGATGCCTTTCTCAAGCCAGCTCGAACCGGCTTAGGGCTGGACTTGTTATTAGCCAAAAGAATCCTGACAGACACGGTCTACACATACGAGAACCTCCGTTAGAAAACCAAAGCCTCAGGACCAGCAGTTGGTGTAATGGCTATGTCGCTGGACTCCCACGTAGTCGACTGCAGTTCGAGTCCTGGACCCAGTGGCTTAAACTCACGCCAGGCGCATGTGCGTGCGTGCCCAAGATCCCAAGAGGAGAATGGAGGAGAAGGGATTGCGATGTGGCCATCCCCCCTTGGGGGTGGTTTTCAGCTCTGTTTCTCTGTCTCTATCTGGCGAGCGCACATGCCCTATAGCAAAAACCCACACACAAAAAAAAAAAAGAAAGAAAGGAAGGAAGGAAGGAAGGAAGGAAGGAAGGAAGGAAGGAAGGAAGGAAGAAAGAAAGAAAGAAAGAAAGAAAGAAAGAAAGAAAGAAAACGAAAGCCTCTACCAGGCCTCTCTGCCTGCCCACCTCCTGGTGCCTGGCCCAGCTCCCTCTCGGACGGCCTGTCTGGGTCGCCGCCTCCCTGGCGCTGGTGCTCACCTGAGGAGGGGTGTGCCGCTCTGGTTCAGGGCCTTGAAGGTCAGGTAGCGCTCCCTGGCACTCATGCGTGGCTTGTAGAAGCGCATCAGGCCTTCGAACTGCTTGTAGGAGATGCCGGCGGGCCTCTGGGGGAGAGGGAGACAGGCAGTGTGGAACCCGGGTTGCCCCTGCCCTTGGGGAGCCCCTGTGGATGCCCAGCACAGAGGACCCCAGGGCACACCAGGGGCGCTTGTTCTCCCCAGGTATTGACTTCTGCTTTCTTTCTATTTTTTGTAGAGGTTTTTGCCTTAGGGGTGTGCACTCGCAGTAGACAGAGAGACAAGAGACGGTGAGAGGGAAAGTGAGAAATCACCTCCCAGGGGAGATGGCCACACCGCGATTCTGTCTCCTCCATTCTCCTAGGATCTGGGGCATGCATGCATGTGTCTGGAGGGATTTTCAACCCACCAGGTCCAGGACTCAAACCGCAGTCGGCCATGTGGGACACCAGTGATGTAGTGCTATGGCACTGGCTGGCCCCTGTCACGCTGAGGGGCTGCTCCAGACAAGGGCCACCCTCCCAGGACGCCCGGGCCTCCCTACCCGCTGGCTGACCAGCAGGCGGTAGGCGTGCTGGATGGCGGTTCGCTTATGCAGCAGCAAAGACTTGAACTTGCGCTTCTCGATGTCGTTGAACGTGTCGAACACCACGGCCAGGAGCTGTGAAGGAAAAGCACAGCACCCTGGCTCCCCTGCATGGCGGGCCTCGGGCCTCGAGAGATCAAGGCTCATCCTGGCCTCCTGCAGGGCTCCCATCCGGCCACTCAGAGTGGGGCTTGAGGAGTTCCCCGTGACCCGCCTCGCAGGGTAGGAAGGGGATCCCAGGTCCCCGCAGAGGAAGGCCACTCATCGCTTCTGGGAAATTTCTCTCTGCGGAGCCACTGAAACACAGTTACTCAGATTCGGGGCTCCCCTTCTGTCCTCCTATACTCGTCCTCAGCTGGGCAGGGACAAGCCTGGGAAGAGCTGAGGCAGGAGGGACACGCCAGGTTTGAAGCCTGATCCTGCTCAGGAAGACAGTGAGGAGGCCATGTGTCCCCCTGTGCCCACGGCCCTTCTGCCATCAGGGGCCTGACGCTCCCACCTCCTGCCCTTGTTGTTACTGTTCTTGGTGAGTCACAGCTTCACGTGTGCCCCAGGAATGAGGGGAAGGAGGAGGCCTACTCTCCAGAAAAAAGCAATCTGGTACTGCCCCATGCTGGGGTCCTTGAGGAATGCCATTACCAGAGAGCCATGGGGGGGTGCCGGAGAACTGGGAAGAACCCTTTCTGTTTATTTTATGTTTTAGATGTTTTTGCCTGAGGGCGCGTGTGCACGCCAAAGAGAGAGAGACAGAGACAGTGAGAGGGAAAGTGAGAAATCACCCACCGGGGGGGGATGACCACTCCACAATCCCTTCTCCATTCTACTTCCGGGATCTTGGGCACATGAGCACACGGGCCCAGCATGATTTTCAAGCCACCGTGTCTGGGACTTGAACTGCAGCCAACCAAGTGGGAGTCCAGCAACGTAACTGCTATGCCATCTGCTAGTCCCCAGTGGACCTTTCCTGTACAGGACCAGATAACGAATATTTCCAGACTCTCAAGGCCAGATGGACTCTGCTGCAGAGCCTCGAATCCATGGCTATATCATGGACTCATCCACAGGCTGTATGCAGCAAATGGGCTGTGTCCCAATAAAACTTTATTTACACAAACAGGCTGCGGGCTGGATTTGGGCTGCAGACCATAGTTTGCTAACCCTGCCCTAGATTTTCAGAGCTCTAAGTGAACTGCAGATTAAAACAAATACAAAGAGGTAATATCCACCATACTTCTTTTTGGTTTTGAAAAATTAAAAAAAAATTATTTTGGGGGAGCTGGCAGGAGGCATGGTGGTTAAGGTGCTGGACTCCCACGTGGCAGATCACAGTTCGAGTGCCAGACCTGGCAACTTGCTTTCTCATTTTTTCTCATCAAATTAAAAAAATAATAATAAATTGGGAATACAAATAATAATAATAATAATAATAATAATAATAATAATAATAAGTGGAGGCTAGCAGAGGGAGTAGCAGTCATATCACCTGACTCCCATGTGGCTGACTACAGTTTGAGTTCTGGACCCAGTGGCTTGAAACTCACACCAGGCGCATGTGCATGCGTGCCCAAGATCCTGAGAAGAATTCAAGAGAAGGGATTGCGGCGTGGCCAATACTCGGTGGGTAATTTCTTACTTTCCCTCTCACTGTCTCTCCTTCACCAGCGAGCAGCTCTGGTCAAATAAAAAGGAAATAAGTGAATGAATAAATAAAATTAAATAATTCTTAAAAAAAAAAAAAACCCTTATTTTTAAATATATTCTTTCAGCTAAAAACCATGGCACACACCTGTAACCCTAGTTATTCAGGAAACTATGGAAGGATGGGGAGACGGAAGTCACCCTGGGCAACATAGGGAGACTCTGTCTCTTTTAAGATTTTTTGCTATGGGGTGCATGTGCTTACCAGAGAGACAGAGAACCAGAAAGTGAGAGATCACCCCCCGGGGGGATGGCCACACCACAATCACTTCTCCATTCTCCTCTTAGGATTTTGGGCATGCATACACCAGCATGAGTTTTAAAAGCTGCCAGGTCCAGGACTTGAACCGTGGTTGACTACATGGGCATCCAGTGACGTAACCATTACGCCATCTGCTGGTCCTAAGACCCTGTCTCTTAAAAAAAAAAAATTCTGGGGCCAGCAGATGGTGTAGGGTTGGGGTGCTAGCATGGCACGGTTCAAGTCCTGTACCTGGTGGCTTGCTTTCTCATTTTCCCTCTCTCTCTTTCTCTCTTCTCACTCTTGTTCTCTCTCTCTCATGAGCTCACATGTCCTGTAGCAAATTAAAATAATAATAATAATGATAATAATGATAACAATAAATAAAATGAAATAAATAATTCTTAAAAATATATTTCTTTGGGAACCAGCAGTTAGTGTAATGGCTATGTCGCTGAACTCCCACGTAGTCGACCGCGGTTCGTGTCCCGGACCCGGTGGCTTAAAACTCACGCCGGGCGCGTGTGCGTGCGTGCCCAAGATCCCGAGAGGAGAATGGAGGAGAAGGGATTGCGGCGTGACCATCCCCCCTGGGGGGTGATTTCTCGCTTTCTGTCTCTATGTCTCTCTCTGTCTGTCTGGTGAGCGCACGTGCCCTACAGTGAAAATCTCTCCAAAAAAAAAAATATATATTTTTTTAAGACTTCAAATTTGTAGGAGTTTCCACCGGTCTACCTGAAGGTGTTTTCCATTTCTACCCTAGGCCTGATGGTGGTTACTGGCATGAGAATGCTCTCAGAAGTATAAAATTAAACACAGGACTTGGTCACATGCCACCCCCCAAGGACTCTGGCACAGCCCGGTGTCATACACAACCTGCCGATGCAGGGAACGTTCTGGTGGCCAGCCAGGCCTCGCAAACACCTTCAGAGTTCTGTGGGCACGGTGACTTTGGTTCTTCTTGATGGAATGCATTCTACACTGAATTTTCCCTGTTCCCCCCCCTTTTTTTTTTCAGAGAGATTTTTATAATGGGCATCACATGCTCTCCAGAAAGAAAGCAAAAAACCACCTCCCCACCCCCCCCGGAAGAACGATCACGCCACAATCCCTTCTCTTCTATTCTCCTCTTGGGATCTTGGGCACCACACAGACACGCGTGGTGTGAGTTTAAGCCTCCAGATCCCGGACTTGAACTGCAGTTGACTACATGAGAGTCCAGCGATGTTACGCCAACTGCCAGCTCCTACACTGGGTTTTCGGGTGTTTGTGACACACAAGACATTCCTGGCATGTGGGTGTGACAGGATGGAGTAGTTTGGGGCAGGGCCCTGGGACCAGCCTGGCTCGGCTGCCCTGAGCAGTTTGGTGTGGGCGAGGCCACGCTACCAGTCCGACCCTCAGCCTCTTCACCTGCAAATTGAGAATCACAATAACAGAACCTCCAGGGCTGCCTGTTAAATGGTTTTCATCCCCATATGTTCCTCATTATGCATGGTGCTTAGGGAAGGCTTTAAAATGCCAGCTTCAGGTCAGCAGATGGTGTAGTGGTTAAGGCACTGGAATCCTGCAGGGCAGACTGTGGTTCAAGTCTTGGATCCTGCAGCTTGAAATTCACACCAGGTACATGCGCGTGCCCAAGATCCCAAAAGGGGGGAAAGGGACTGCAGTGTGGCCATCCCCCCTGGGGGTGATTTCTCACTTTTTCTCTTTCGCTGCCTCTCTGGCGAGTGCGTGCGCCCTATAGCAAAAAATCTCTCTCTCTCTCAAAAAATAGTCAGTTTTTATGGTTATTATACGATAAAAACTGTGGGTGGCCTTGGCTTAAAATCCAGCACCATGAGCAGCAGCGGCTGGCAGGGCCCTCTCAGCAACACACGCTTGACTGGAGCCTGGGACTTCCTGCCCTGACACGCAGCCCCGCCCTCTGCGTTCCCATGGTGCCCAGTGTCACATGGGCTGGGGCCACTGCTCCACGCAGCCCGAGGGATGCTCACTCACCAGGTTCATGATGAAGTACAGCTCAATGGAGAGGTACACGATGAAGAAGACGCAGGACCAGGGGTTCCGGGAGTAGGAGGGCATCATCACGTCTGGGAAGCTGCGTGTGAAGAGGGTTACCCGCCAGCCCCAGGCCGGCTGCCTCCGTCTACGCAAACGCTGGCTGTGCAGAGCCAGCTCCTGCCCCTTCCTCCCCAGCCTCCGTCTGCCTCCCCAACCCCCTGGCCCCGGCCCCGGGGCAGCCGCGAGGGCAGAGGCACGGTGAAGCCCACACTCACTTGGCCGTGGTCAGGAGCACAAACAGGCTGACGATGCTGTTCTCCAGGGTGCTGAAGTACTGAGAGGGGCCCGGAGTCAGCGAGTGCGCCCCACCAGGAACAGCCGTGGGCGCCCCTCCTCGTGAACCCGCGCCTCCTCCCCAGGAAGCCCAGAGGGCTTGGACAGCAGGGGAAGAGCAACCCTCTGCCCTTCTCGAACCCGAGGCTCTGGCGAAGGAAACTATATGCCCTTCCCAGGGAGGAGCACACCTGAGTGGCCCCCTCTACTTAGCGTGGCCCCCTCCACCGCTCCTCTGCCCAGCACTCTGGGCTCCCAACATGATCCAAGGAAGGGGTGACAGGGCTCTGGGTGCCACAGTAAGCTATGAGGGGAAGCCAGGTAGGGCTCCCTCCTGAGTACAGCCATGGGGTCCTCCCTGCCACCGGGCCTGAGGGACAGGCCTCAGGCAAAGGAAGAGAGAGACACGCAGATCAATTACTCAGCAGATCAATTACTCACCGGGTCTGAAGGGTTAGGGGAGAACAAGTAGAAGCCTGGAAAGTGATGGGAAGAGAGACCAAAAAGGTTAGGGCACAGGTCCCAAGCCAGGTGTCAAAAGGACGAGCTGCGTAAATTTAAATGAGCACAGTGGGAGGGGAGAGAGGTATAGAGGGGCGCCCCGGACAGTATGAGCTCTGCCCACAGCAGCAGGTGCTGCTGGGCCCAGCTGCTGGCAGCCTGAGTACTGGTAAGGCTATTCCTTAAAAGGGTTGGGAGGGGCTAGAAGGTGGCATGGTGGTTAAGGGTGCTGGACTCCCACATAGACGACCGCGGTTCGAGTCCTGAACCCGACAGCTTAATCTCTCTCTCTCTCTCTCACTCTTACTCTGTCCCTCTCTGGTCAAATTAAAAATAAATAAATAAAATTAAATAATTCTTTTTTTTGTTTATTTATTATTTATTTATTTTTACATTTGACCAGAGAGGGACAGAGTGAAAAAGAGAGAAAGTGAGAAAGCAAGCCACTGCCAGGTCCGGGACACAAACCGTGGTTGGCCATGTGGGAGTCCAGCACTCTTAACCACCATGCCACCTGCCGGCTGCGATAATTCTTTTTTTTTTTTTTTTTTTTTAAAAAAAAGGGCTGGGGAGGCTAGCCCTGTAGCCTAGTGGTTAAGGGCACCGGATCCTACATGGCAAACCAGAGTTTGAACCCTGACCCCAACAGCTTGAAAAACACTGTGTGTGCATGTGCGTGTGTTAAGTCCTCTAAATCCTAACGGGATGGAGAAGGATTGCAGAGTGACTACACCCCACTGGAGGTGCTTCTCCATCTCCTTCCCCCTCTGGTGAGCACATAGAACCTCTGGCAATTTTTTTAAAAAAAAAAAAAAGAAAGAAAGAAAAGAAAACAGGCTAGAAACCTGTACTGCATCTTTGTGTAAAATCGAATTTGAAAATGCTGACTTCCAGTGTTCAGGCCAAAAGAAACCCATCTGTCGACTGGATCTGGAATCCACATGCTGATTTGCAATCTTTGGTCTGAGAACATGACAGCCAAGTGAATTTCCCAAGGGGTCCCACGATTTCTCCATAGCCAAGGTCCCCTGGAAGGGACAACATTCATTTCCTCCCTCCTGGAGGGGCCAGTCCTAAGTCCTTGGCTTCCTGTATAGGGCAAGGGCGAGACGCTGCCCTTGGGGAAGTCCATTCCCCAGGGACCAGCAGATGGCATAATGATGACGTCACTGGACTCCCACGTAGTCGAGCACTGTTCAAGTCCCGAACCTGGTGGCTTAGACCTCATGCCAGGCACGTGTCTGTGAGTGCCCAAAATTCTGAGAGGAGATTGGAGGAGAAGGGATCACAGCATGGCCACTCCCCCCAGAGGGGTGTTTTCTAGCTTTCTGTCTCTCTGGCGAGTGCACATACACTATGGCATAAATCTCTCTTTTGAAAAAACAATTATCACCCTCCAGTGGGGGGTGATCATGCTGCAGTTCTTCCTCCATTTCTTTTTCCTTCGGGATTTTGGGTTCACACACACACACCCTGTATGTTTCACAAGGTACCAGGGTTGGGATTTGAACCATGGGTGGCCACAGCGGATCCAGCTCCCAGTGTACAACACTTAACCACTGCACTATGAAGTTGTCCTCTGTTTTTTGGTTTGTTTAAATTATTTATTTATTTAATTACATTTGTTATTATTATTATTATTTGAGTTTGACCATAGAGAGACAGAAAGAGAGAGAGAAAGGGTAAGTGAGAAAGCAAGCCTCCAGGTCCAGGACTCGAACTATGGAAGGCCACATGGAGTCCAGAGCCTTAACCACCACACCACCCACCAGCCCCTTGTGTTTTATTTTAAATACTTCATTTCCTAAGTTGAATGTGGGTCCACGGGCTTTTAAATTATATATAAAACCATTTCTAAGTTTCTAAAATTGTCTGCTATGGTCCGAATGTTTGCACCTCCCTAAATTCTTTTTTTTTCTTTTTTCTTTTTGGAGAGGTTTTTGCTATGGCGCATGTGCACTCACCAGAAAGACAGAGAGAGACAGAGAGACAGAAAGTGAGAAATCACCCCCCAGGGGGGATGGTCCCATTGCAATTCCTTCTCCTCCATTCTCCTCTAGGGATCTTGGGCACGCACGCACACGTGCCCAATGTGAGTTTAAGCCACCTGGTCTAGGCCTCGAACCGCTGTTGACTACATGGGAGTCCAGCGACAGCCATTACGCTAACTGCAGGTCCTGCAACTCCCTAAATTCTTATGTTGAAATCCTTAACTCTGATGTGATGGTATTAGGACGTGGGACCTTCGGGAGGTGATCGCGTCACAGGCAGAGCCCCAGGGAGCTGCCTCCCCCTTCCACCACATGAGGGCATGGTGAGAAGGTGCCACCCGTGAACCAGGAGGTGGCCTCACCAGACACCGGATGTGCCAGTGCCTTGATGGTAGCCGTCCCAGCCATGAGCAGTACATTTCTGCTGTCCCATTTGCTGTCTGGCATTGTGCACAGCAGCCTGAAGGGACTCAGACCCGGTCAAGCTAGGCCTTTCTTCAGCGGGGAGCTTGCCTCCCGAGAGTCCCGGGGGGCGGGGAGCAGGGCACTCACCGAGGATGGCGAAGATGATCATGAAGAAGAGCAGCAGCAGAAGAATGTCCATGAAAGGCGGCAGGGACTGGAAGATCTGCCGCAGGTTCCTGGGGTGAGAGACGGACAGGTCGGGGAGGCCGGGGCTCCTCGGGGGTGGAGGGGTGTGCTTGTTCAGGTGGGGGCCGGTGCTCCTGACTTGAGACACACAATCCACTGCATCCCGGAGTGACAGCTTAAGGCTCTGCTCAGTGCGTGAGCAGGAAGAATGGGACTGAGGTGCACATAGCCTCCTCCACCCGGCCGCAGAGCCCAGGCAGGGGTGCGCGGGTAAGAGGGAGGGAGCAGAAGGCAGAGTGTGCGGCCCTGGGAGTGTGAAGACATGGCCGGGTCTCCACATCCTGGGACACACATCCTGCTTTGAGTGGGCATGAAGAACTGACTGCCGGCCCACTCTCACCCAGAGGACCCCAGCCAAGAAACTGTCCAGATGACGTCTCCGAAAATAAACCTAACTCCAGGCGTGTGGGCTGGAATGGCATCCCACAGCCTCGGCGGAGGCGGCAGGGGAGCCTGCCTGTGTCGCGTGGACCCAGCTGAGCTGCCTGCTCTGGGCTGGCCCCGCTGCTGTGGCATGTGGGTGGATGACGGGCTCTGGAGAGGAACCAGCTCCAGGAGGGGCAGGGGGGGTTGCAAAGAGTCCC